TTGAACTAAATGATCTAGATCTCTAAGGCCCCTTCCAACTTTACTATTACTATTACTAAGCTACTCTGAAAAGGTGAGGAATCAGCTCTCAACAAATGAACCAGCAAATGTGTGGAAAACTCTTAAAGATATCACTGGCTATTGCAAACCTTCTTCCCATGCTGAAGGGAATCGACAACTGGCAGATGACCTGAATATATTTTGCTGTAGGTTTGAGAGAAAACCACTGTCAACTATCGCCATCCTCTCCATCTCAGATACACCAATAACAGCCAAGTCTCTTAAAACTGACTCCATCTCTCTGGGGCCCCCCACCTCTGGTCACAGAAAAAGATATGCAAGATCTATTTCACAGACAAAAGCCTGGAAAAGCACCAGGCCCAGACAAGGTAACTCCTTCTTGCTTGAAAATTTGTGCTGACCAATTGGCCCCCATCTTCACCCGTACCTTTAATAAATCTCTAGAGATGTGTTATGTTCCTTCTTGCTTCAAACTCTCTACTACAATCCCAATGCCTAAGAAGAAACCCTCCATTAAGGAGCTGAAAGACTACAGACTGGTTGCTCTGACATCCATAGTTATGAAAACTTTTGAAAGGCTAGTGCTGGCCCACCATCACAGATCCGCTGTTAGACCCCTTGCAATTTGCCTATCGGGCTAACAGACTGGTAGATGATGTTATTAATATGGCTCTGCACTATATCTTACAACATCTTGAATCTACAAGGACCTATGCAAGGGTCCTTTTTGTAGACTTCAGCTGAGCACATTCCGGATATTCTTCCCATTAAACTGACTCAGCTAGCTGTGCCTGACCACACTTGTAAGTGGATCATAAACTTTCTAACAAGTAGGAATCAGCAGATGAAGCTAGGCAAAATCACATCAGATACATGTACAATTAGCACAGGTGCTTCCCAGGGTTATGTGCTCCCCCCACTACTCTTTTATCTTTTTCAACAACTGCTTCTCAAATGATCCCTCTGTTAAAGTATTGAAGTTTGCAGACGATACAACAGTGATTGGTCTCATTTGAGACAATGATGAATCTGCATACAGATGGGAAGTTGAATAACTGGCCCTGTAGTGCAATCGGAACAATAACACTCAAAACTTTAGAGATGATAGTAGATTTTAGGAGAAGCCCTCCTATTCTACTACCTCTTACATTACTAGACTACACAGTATCAACAGTAGAGACCTTCAAGTTTCTAGGTTCTCTAATATTTCAGGTCTTAAAATGGATACCTAACATCAAAAATGTTATCAAAAAAGCACAACAAAGAATGTTCTTCCTGCACCAATTCAGAAAGTTCAGACTGCCCAAGGAGTTGCTGATACAGTTCTATAAAGGAATCATTGAATCTGTCATTTGTACCTCTATAACTGTCTGGTTTGGTACAGCAACCATGCTAGATAGACACAGACGTCAGTGGATAGTTAGGACTGCAGAAAAAATAATTGCAACCAGCCTGCCTTCCATTGAGTACCTGTATACTGCATGAGCCAGAAAGAGGGCTGTGAAAATATCTACAGACCCCTCACATCCTGGACATAAACTGTTTCAACTTCTTCCCTCGAGACAATGCTGCAGAGCATTGCACGCCAAAACAACCAGACACAAAGAGACTTTTCCTCCATGCTATCACTCTGCTAAACAATTTCCACAACTTTGTCTATGACCTGGGATGTCAAACTAGTAAGTAAGATTGTATTACTTATCCTTCTCATCTGTGCTATTATCTATTTCCTTAGCTTCTTATGACTATAATGTTGTTTGTATCTCATAATTTATGTTGATTGCTTATTTAGTATCCTATGACTGTCACTGAGTGTTGTACCCTCTGATTTATGATGATTGTATTTTATGATTATGATCATGATTTATCACTTGTTGCTTGTATGTACACTGAGAGCTTATGCACTGAAGACTAACTCCTTGTGTGGTCCAATCACACTTCTCCAATAAAGAATTCTATTCTGTTCTGTTCTGTTCTGTTCTATTCTATTCCATTCTACCCTACCCTACTCTACCCTACCCTACCCTACTCCACTCCCTGTAATATCCCTTCAAATGGAAAACTGCTATCATGTCCTTCTTCTAGTCCTTCTATTATGCTCCCTTGGATACACTATACAAAGACATGGCTCTTTGGAAAAGCCTCTGAAAGAAAAGTGAAGAGGACAACCAGTAGCAAGGTGGATGGATTCAGGTACAGTGGCAAAGAATGCATCATTGGGAGACATTAAAAAGTAGGTTAGGGATAAAACACCATGAAGAAAATTTATCAATGTGGTCACTAGGAGTTGAAACTGACTCGATGGAACATAATCAGTTGATCAATCTATGAACCAATCAGTGATGTGCTCAAATATTCAATTTTTAAACATTTCCTTTAGTATATACAGATTTTAACTTGGAGGGAGTCAGTTAAAAATTCATTTGAAAAAAAATCTTGGAAATTTATTGCCTATGTCATTTAGATATTATAGAGGAATGGAGTTAGCTGTATATTTTTAACACAAATGCCTGCTTAAGTATGTTAGTAACTTCCCTCAAAAGATTTTTTCATGCATGCAGATGTTTTCACTGAGAAGAATCTTAGAAGGAATGGAAGGAATGCACATAACAAACTATTATCTACAAAAAAATTGAGTTCATTCATACATGTTCTCAGATATTTCCACATGTTTACAAAAAAAAAGACATTTTGCACATATCCTCAATTACAATAATCAATTAATCAATAATTCACATTGTGGGTTGTTCCTCATTATTTCAGGCATCCAAATTCAGTTTACATACTAATGATGCATATTTGTTCTTAATAGATGTGCTGTTAAAAAGCAGATCACAATAAATTAAACTATTTAAGCATCATACTCCAGTCTGATGAAAATATCTGAGAATTCATATATTTTTCATGTGAAATAATGTTAATGATAAACTGAAATGACAAACATGAACTACTATATAAAGAAAACCAGTTAGTACTACTCTGAGATAATAGTGACTGAAATGGCTGGTTTGAGCACATACAATCATTTTTCTCAGAGCCAGTTTTACCAGTGGTATTATGTACTCATTATATTCTGCAACACAAAGACAGATAAATTATATTATCTATTTTTAATGCAGGTCTATCTCCCTCGTGGCGTGGCTTACATAAACCCCGCTGAAGTATAACCCAGTAATTTTTCTCATACTATATTTGGAATGGTTTGAACATAAATGCCCAACAATTTAATAGTTGATAGAAATGAAGATGTTAGTAAAACTGCAGAATTTGTTATAACCACAGATTTATAGGAAATATGTTATCTCATCCCTTTTTTCAGTTTTGCACCAGCTTCACACTTCATGGGACTATAGGAATTATAGCTGTGTGTTGCACTGCCTTCACTGCTGTAACAGTGCTGGGCTTCTTCTGATGCCTCCTTCTTCTGGAGCTCACCAGATCATCAGATACCTCTCTCACCTGGAAAATGATATAGGTCTAACTTTCAAGTTATCCCATGACATCTGTCACTCTTTGCAGATCTTGGTAGGGCTTCCATCTCCTTGATAATGATGCTTTGATTTAATTTTACTTTTCATAATGTACACTAAGATGAGAAATAGCCATGGCATTTCCAAGAAAATTATCTCTTTTCACACACATCTGTAGTTCTTTATTCCCCTTCTCATTATTCAAAGCACAAGAAAGAATGGCTTGTGGACTTGGATCAGCAGTATTACTGATATCCATGTCTAAGTGTTACATGCAGGCTTCACCAGGTAAGCAAACTGTTCCCATTAAGAAATCATGCTTTAGAACTTATACAGCTTTTCCCAAAGGTTGAGGGGTATAGTCAGTGGTGGGATTCAGCCAGTTCGCACCAGTTTGGCAGAACTGATAGCTAATTTTTTGTTGCCCAGGCCCAGAATGGACTTCCGGAAGTGGCATCCACACAGAGAACCAGTTGTTCACATATTTGAATCCCACCACTGGGTTTAGTGCAAGTCCACAGATTTTATTCACCTGATTTTTTTATTCTTTCAACGTCTAGCTGATGTCTCAACCTACCCACCCTCTTGCAATTTTTCTAACTGTTTAAGATGAAAGAGACTGACTGATTCCTTTTTGGGCTGCAAATGCTTTTCCACATATGTATGAAATCAATTACTTCTTCATAGTCATTTGGTAGCCTGACCATACTTGGAAAACAACACACGTAAAGTAGCAACCTCTATGCCCTTTTCAGTTAATATTGATTAAATGAATAAAATTAGAGATGCATATTGAAACTCATGGAAAGCTGAGTTGAATTAGTCTACTACTTGAATATATTACTGTTTAAATGAGTTAATATGAGAGAAATTAGTAAATTCAGTCTGGGGTAACTTGATGGGTTCTAAGCACCAAATTTTATATGAAATTAGTAGCTTCTTTCCCTGTGTAGTTGTCAAAGTTTGTGGACTGTTCACAAAGTCACTAAGGCTGAGAAAGAAAAGGCAATATTTCAAAACATTACTAACAGAGAACAGAAGGTTGTTTTATGCCTACCTGGAAAATGCTTACCTGGAAAAGGGCAGTTAGATTCTTAGATTTGGATTCTGATAAAAACAACCCACACAGATACTACCTTAATGAATTCACTCATAAACGAGAGCCAGAATTTTTGATTATTCAGTTTCCAAGATTCAGAATCTTAACTTTTTATTTCTTGCCATAAAATATAATTAATGAAACTACAATCAATGAATATTGCCTATTCTCCCACCTTCTCCAAAATGCCACAATAAATTATTCAAGCAAAATATCTGCATTATAGAACTAAAAGTTTGTTTCTCCATTACTATAAGAACATCTACAATAATCTACCAGAGATATTATATTTTTGATATACCATTCTCTCAAGAAAGTTGTTAAACAACTGACTAAACAAAAGCAATATTTCCACAGAAATAAAATTCTAGATGATTTGATATTAAACTTGTCAACATCTTTAATCTCACCTGGAAGTATATGCTCTGGTCAATGTGAAGCACATTAAACTGTTTCAGGAAACGTTCATCTTGGCTCCAGAAAATGCGAATGTCAGGAATCCGATACAAGATCATGGCCAACCGCTCTAATCCCAAACCAAATGCCCATCCAATTTTGTTCTCAGCACCAGCTGCAGTTACAGAAAGAAAGAAAAAACAGACATAAAAATAAACCATGAAGGAATGAAATGAGAGTATGTTAGCTAAATAATAACTAGATTCCAGAATTAAATTAAATAAAGTTGATAATTTGTAAAGAATGAACATTTTTTTTAAAAAAAAGTGAATCAGCATTCCATCTTTTACTTTATTCTATTATGGATTCCACTTTAATAGAGCTATCCTGCATTCCCTAATGCACACTGCATTTTCCCTGAAAATGAAAGTCCACTATGTTATGCAGAACATGTGGTAATAAATTCTGTTTCACTGTGTGTTGTGTGAAATATTTCCTTGCATCTGTTCTGAATTTCCTACTATTCAGCTTGAAATGATGATTCTGAATTCTAGTCATAAGGATACAATAATCCCACTGCAAAGGTCATAAATGCAAGGATTGGTCATAAAACAACTTTTTCATCGCTGCCACAACTAGAAATGGTTGTTAAACAAGGCAGTTGCTAAATAAGGACCTTCAACATCTTATATTATTTTAAGACTTCAGATTTCTTTATTAAAACCAAGCTGGTAGCCAATAATAATTGAATCATAAGTCCACATAAGACATTAATAAAGATTTCTGTCTAATCTTAGAATTCTATCCTTATTTAATGAATCAACCACTAGCTAATACATTAAGGAATTATGGTAACTGAATCCCAAATTTCAGAGGTGGTACATGTCTGTATATAGAAGTTTGTATATATTCCATAAATAATTTCCAAGTTGAATTAAATTTTGTATTAAACATATTCATCAAATACAAATTCATTTTTGACATTTATGCATATTACAACAGATGAGTTTGCCATTCTTACATAGAGAATATTACATATGATTTCCAAAAAAAGACATAAAGTGTCCTAACGGATGTTATCACATACAATGCCAACTCACTATATTTTAAGGCTTAATTGTTTGATGATAATTTTAATTGGTCTAAAAATACAAAGATAAAAAATTATTACAAACTAAGAAAAACACAAAAAAAGAAAAAAAGGGGGAAAGGAAGAAAAAAATATGTTAAAAAAGGGGAAAAAATATACAGAAATGATTTCCCCTTCATAAAAACAAGTGTAAACAATTTCAGTAACTTAGTGCCTTGTCTAATATTCCAATCTAAATCTCTTCATCCCATAATTCATACTACTTGTTTGACTACTAAACATGATTATTGCATTTATAAGAAATTTTAGAAAATCAATTGTCTATTTTGGCAATCAATATTGGAGTAATACAATGGTAAAACATTTCAAACCAGATGTTTTGTTATATTTGTGATAAATTTAATATTTAACTTCTACTCATATTTCTGTTGTTGCATGTCAATTGTCTTGTTTAAGTTCTTCATCCATTTAATCATACTCTACATAATTTTCTATCAGTCAAATATACCTGGGCTTAGAAGATTAAGATATTTGAAAGTTGTAATCTTTTTTACATAAACTATTGTTTTTGCATTTCCTATGTTTTTGTTTCGAACTATCCTTTAATAATCTGATTCCACCAGGAAATAGAGTCAGGTTTATGCTTGCATTTTATATCAAATTATTTATAAGCAGTCCTTTTGCTAGAAACCAAAAGATATACTGCATTAATTCTGGGGTTGGACAATTAGAAATGTTTATGAATGTAAAAATGCTGGATATTATTGAATTTTAGACCAAAAAGTTAATATAATTATGACATTCCACATGCAAAAAAGTTGTTTTAGTAGTCTATTATGATTTAAAACTTTCAGTCGCAAGAATAAGATTAGAATTTTTTTTAAAAAAAATATTTTATTAGATTTATATTCCACTTTTCCTCCAGAAGCTCAGGCAACCTCAACTGTTTTACTTGAGCCCAATTTCCTTCCTCCTTCCGGATTGGCTCCAGAAAATACTGTCAAACATACCAGTTTCAACTTTAATTGTTTATAATTATTTTTAATCTCTGATTTTTTAAAAGTATTTTACTTTAGTGATCAGACATATTAACTATTTAATTAAAAAAGGAGGGATGTAACCAAAGCAAATTAACTAAACGAAACCAAATTAAACCTTTTGCAATTCCTTTCTAAATAAAAACACAGGGATACATATGGTATGTGCCAATTAACTCATCATGTACACACAGGACATAATAAGGTATAGCAATGTCCAGCAGGCTACCTAACAAATATGTAACATCAGAAAATCAAATATGCAATTTTGCAAATAACTTCAAAATAAGTTGCATTTGAAAAAATGCATGACAGATAAATTGTCTGTCTTCCACAATTCTATCATCTCAGTGATTATGACAATTGTAACAATTTTAATTCATCTTAGAAATTATCTGAAATGATAAAGAGGCTATGGTGGCTTTTAAACCTCATACCTATTTAAAGGATTATTTTGCTTTAAATATGCACAAGGGAACTTCAATGTCAATGGTCTGGGATGCAGGTAAAGCCTACATGCGGGGGATTTTGATACAAATGAATAATGTTCATAGACAGAAGCAGATGCAGAAACGTAAGGAGTTGGAAGATGAGATTAAATTAAAAGAAAAAGCTTTGATTTTAAATCCTACAGATGAGAAGGTTAAGGAATCTATAAAATTGCTTAAATCACAATTTAATATGTTGATGGCTGATCAAACTGCAATTAATTTACTGTATATGAAACAAAATACATTTTGTAATGCTAATAAACCAGGGAGATGGTTGGCTTACCAACTGAGAAAGAAGCAGAGACAGAGAACTATAGATAAAATAAATTATAATGGTAAATTGGTATATCAGAAGGAGTTGATTAAGAAATCCTTTTTAGATTATTACCAAAAATTATATATGAGTACTAAAGTACAGGTTTCAGATATAGATAATTATTTAAATGAAGCTAACTTTCCTAAATTAACAGAAGATCAGAAACAAGAAATTAATGGTTTGATTACTAGTGAGGAGATTGAGACAGTAATTAAAGAATTAAAATTAGGTAAGGCACCGGGTATGGATGGTTTGACATCTATTTATTACAAAACATTGGTACAAGAGATGACTCAACCTTTAAGTGAGCTTTTTAATAATATATTACAGGGTTCAGAGATTCCCCCGTCATGGGGTAGAGCTTTTATATCTTTGATTCCAAAAGAAGATCAAGATCTCACTTTACCAAAGAATTATAGACCTATATCTCTCTTAAATGTAGACTACAAGATCTTTTCAAAAATTTTAGCTAACAGGCTTATGAGGGTTTTGCATCATGTAATACATATGGATCAAACGGGTTTTATAACTGGAAGGTACATGAAGAATAATGTCAGACAAATTATTAACTTATTAGAATATTTAGATAAAAATAATCAAGTTTCTGCAGGATTGATATTTTTAGATGCTGAAAAAGCTTTTGACCAGCTGAATTGGCAATTTATGTTAAGATTAATTGAGAAAATGAATTTTGGAGAAAAATTTTTACAAGCTCTTGGTGTTATTTATCAAAAGCAAACGGCACAACTTATAGTTAATGGGGGTTTGTCAGAGGTGTTTACAATAGAGAAGGGGACTACACAGGGTTGTCCATTGTCACCATTGCTGTTTGTTTTAACTTTGGAAATACTGTTGATTAAAATTCGAGAATCACAGCAAATAAAAGGAATAGAAGTTAATAAAAAAGAATATAAATTAAGGGCTTTCGCAGATGACTTGGTGGTTACCTTATCTCAACCTACTTATTCTGTAATAGAGTTATTACAATTGATACATCAGTATGGACAGGTTTCGGGTTTTAAAATTAATAACAATAAGACTAAAATATTGCCTAAAAATATGACTAATCTGGATAAGCAGACTTTGGTTAAGTTGACAGATTTTGAGGTTGTCAATAAGGTAAAATATTTGGGGGTTATTTTATCTGTTTCTAATGCAAAATTGTACAAAAATAACTATGAAAGGCTGTGGGTCAATATACAAAGAGATTTGGAAAATTGGGAGAAGTTGCAATTATCTCTTTTGGGAAGAATTGCGGCGATTAAAATGAATGTTTTGCCAAAGTTTCTTTTTTTATTTCAAATGATACCTATTTTAAAGAATGAGGTTAATTTAAATGAATGGCAGAAAGGTATTAACAAATTTATCTGGGCAGTGAAAAAACCAAGAGTAAAACTTAAAATTATACAGGATATTCGTGAGAGAGGTGGACTCAAGGTACCGAATTTGAAATTGTATTATGATGCTGTGGTTTTAACATTAATAAGTGATTGGGTTAATTTAACAAATGTAGAAATACTCCTCTTAGAGGGTTGGGATTTACTTTTTGGATGGCATGCCTATTTAATTTTTAATAAAAAGGTTGATAGGGTCTTTAAATCTCATATTATAAGGATTTCTTTACTTCGGGTTTGGAGGAAATATTATAGAAGTGATTTTAAAATTCCACTATGGGCTATACCGGGGCATGCGATAGAAGGGATAAGGAGAGGAGTCAAGATGGATAGCGTTTCTTATGCACAACTACTTAGATGGGATGGTAAAAATTGGCAATTAAAATCTTTGGAAGATTTAATACAAGAAAATATTATTTATTCATGGTTTCATTATAGACAAATAGTGGAGAGGTGGAAGATAGATCGTAATGTGGGTTTACTTAGAGAAGATGAGAATTTATTAAAACAAATAAAAGATCAAAGACGAACCCATATTAAGAGAATTTATGGGGTGTTAGTAGAATTGGATTCAGAAGTAGAATTAGTTAAAGAATGTATGGTCAAATGGGCACAAAATTTTGATGAACCGGTTCTATTAGATACTTGGGAAATTATTTGGGTGAGGAATGTTAAATTTACACAAGCCCAAAATTTAAGGGAAAATTTTTACAAAATGTTTTATAGATGGCACCTTGATCCACAAAAAATGTCTCGTATGTATCCTGACTTACAGCCTAAATGTTGGAGATGTGGATGTTTGGATGCTACTTATTATCATATCTGGTGGTCATGCAAAAATATAAAA